TGTAACCAGAGTCACTGATTTAGACTTTAAAACAGTCTAAAGGTTTGAGATGAGGAGGAAGTTGCTCTTCTCAGAAGAGGAATGCAATGTAAAAACAGGGAACAGAAGGCAGGGGTAAGGGAACACTTCTTAGGATACAGAAACATTCCAAGATGTAGCAAGGCCTGTCATTTTTATGAATAATGTGGGATAAAGTCCCCACAGCTACAGATGATGCAGGAAGTCTGCGCTGATGTTAAAATGAGCCTGACACGCCCATCTAATGCCAAGGTCATCCCAGCACCAGGAGCTGAGCTGTCGGTTACTGAGAACCTGTCCTTGGACACTCAGGGGTTAATGCACTTTGATAAAGAGGATCAAGGTCCAGAGAAGGGCCACGTGGAAGCCCTGACTCCCACGCCAGGGGAAGAGGAGGAAATGAACAGTTGGGAGGGGGGCACCAGCAAAGACCGTGGAGGCTCGCCATCCGGGCAGGTGGAAGGCTCGCCTTGCAAAGTTTTCTGAAATGTCGCCCCAAAGGATCACCCCTTTGAATTTTTAAAGAGCAATTTTACTAGAAATAAAGGAGGCAATTTTTAAAAAGTGGATATTCAGCACATAGAACTTGTTATCCCAGAGGGTGCTGGCACCGAAAATAGAAACTCGGCTGAGGACATGATTTATGAAGAGAACTCAGAGTCTTGGAGAATACCGCTAAGTTTGAGAGCATTTCCATGAAAGGCGACCAACCTCTCAAAATGCTTCTCAGCATCCCTGCCACTGACCCCGGGGCTGGCTCGGCGAGGCACGAGTTCTAGAAATGGTAAATCATTCCTCCTCACTCCCTGCTAACTGCCAAGAGGGTGACGCCACAGGATATTTTCAAAGCTGTCTGCTGAGAAAGTGACAATGACAGTGATGCCACAATACAGAGGACATAAAGATGGGACCACTATGGAATCTTCCAAAGTCCTGGAACAAGCCAGACGGTGATATATGTGGGAAAGCATTAAGGCCAGAGGCAAAACAATAACAAACAACAACAACAACAAAGCCAACTAAATAAAGGCTGGAAGACCTTCAGTTAGGAATAAAGATTCTGCATAACTTGCCAGAATAGGCTCGTTTACTGACAAGTTTAGGGAAAAAATGTTAATTTCCCCTATTCACCCTTTAGGTCTTTCCTAGCAAAGGACAGCTGTAACACAGGTACATTTCCAGTGTTAATGTGGTTTACCCAGTGCCCCGACCAGGAGCCTTTTGAGAGGGGACGGGAGTGCTCTTACTAATTAGATGCTGGGACCCCAGAAATACACCAGGACTATCCTGGGTACACGAGGATTCGTGATCACCCCCAGTCAAGTCCCAAAGTTGGGTTTGGAATTCCCAGGCAGAATTCAGGGAGAGCTGTTAAATAAAATAACATGCTCCCTTATGACATGAACACGAACACAGGGTAGGAAGATTTTATTCTCTTCTCAGAAGAATAAAATGGAGTCAGGGGGTTGGCAGGGTGGAGGGGTCACTGTGGACAGTGGTGGTGGGAGCAATGCCCCCCTCACTGGTGCCTCACTTTTCACTTTAAATCAATGGTTCACAACTTGCGTTGAGTCTCTGGGGAGCTCTTCAAGACAACCCAGGCTGGGGCTTACTCCAGATCAGATAAATCATCATCTCTGGATTTTCTTAAAAAGTCAGGGCTAATAGTTTCTGGTATGTTTCAAAACTTCAAGGTAAATAAAGTTGAACAGATTTCTCCAAATCCACTCTGGAGCCCCCTCCCCATGATAAATCTAGTGAATGCTGGGGAGTAAGACAGCAATGAGACACCAGAGGGGAAACCAGGTCCCCTCCTTCCTTCGGGTACCGTCTTCCACGCCACACGTCCTGCGGTCTGTCTGGAACTCGGGATATAAAAGCTGCCCTCTGGGGGCAGGTGACTTGGCCACCCTGGATTAAGCACACAGGTTTGAAGACCACTTCCTGGGGCTTCTCTGGGCGATGCCAAGTCCACAGAAGGTACCTCCCCACCCCCAGCAAGGGGCTTTCTGCCCTGACATCCTTCTCTGGGGACATTTTAACCATCTCCTATGCCATTCCCCACATCTCAGACCGGCAGCAGAAACACAACATGATGAAATTTAGCACAGGATTTCTGCCTTTCTCCACAAAACGTAATTAAAGTTATCTTGCTAAAAAGCTATATATATTTCTTGCTGAGAAAGAAAAGTCAATCCAGTTCCAGAAACTATTTGGAAAGAAAACCAAAGAGCACATCTGTCTGTTCTTATCATTTCCATTAAGTGGTCAGCCCAGCCTTGGCTCCAGCACGCGAATCTTCAGGGGTGACTCGGGTGGTCATAACCATGCCCTGTAACTCCAGACTGGTGTAAGTTTTCTGATGGAAAGAAAACTGATTCCCTTTGCCCTGTGTGGCCTTGCGAAGTCTATTTTATGTGTGCTGTGCTCTCTTGTGTTTAATGAAAAGCTTCTCATGAGCCGGAATTCGGAAGTGGCTGTTTTTAGCTGCGTTTTACGAAAATCACAGACGAGGATTAGAAACAGAAGTAAAACTGGTTATTACCTGTGTTGGTAACAGACACATAACCGATTCAACTCTCCAATTTGCCTTTTCACCTCCTGTAACATTGGTAAATTAGCCCCTGCTCACATTTGCTATCCCCCCAAAATGGGCTCTTAGGTCCCATTGGGGGCACATTCTGGAATCAGTTTGGAAAACGTTTTGATATATTACTTTCCTTTTCTGCTCTCACTTTATAAAAATGAGGCAAACATCGGTCCTCTAGGTAGGCAATAAAGTACTTTAAGAGGCTGCCACCTACTTCCAGCAAGAACAGAACTTTGGGTTCCTGAGAAGACACCAATCAGATCCATCACCATCCACAGGGGGACCACGAGGAGGGAAGGAGGGAAGTGAATTGTCTACTCTGGGTCTTCTCAGGGAAGATTTAACCTTGCCATTCCCCTTGTAAAAATGAAGTCAGACATGATTTCACTGCCAAACTGTTACTCCCTCTTATGGCTCCCACCTGGGTCAAGAGCCAGCACCCCTCCGCCCCCAGGAACCTCCAAGGCTGAGGAGCAGCCAGGGGAAGCCCGGAGGGTGGAGGCAGTCAGAGGAGATCACTTGGAAAGAAGCAGGATGAAGGAGACGGGCCAACAGATCAGCGATTGGCGGGTGGAGAAAGCGAGGTCAAGCCCTGGGTGGCTCCAGGCCACCAGACTGCTGATTTAACCTAGCCACGCCAGTCCTCTCCCAGGTGCCGGACCCGGCTGTGAGAACTGGAGGGGGCGTGTGGACAGCTCATGACCACATGTGACCGGTCCTGGGAAAGTCAGGACCCAGGGGCACTGAGAGCGGGTGCCCAACATCAGCTCCCTAGGCAGTATTTCCTAAGAGAGGACAAGAGGTCTGATTTCAGTTGAAGGAGTGGACCAATCAATGGGCATGATTTTCTATACAGGATCCTGGCAGTTTGATTGACAAACAGAAGAAAACTTTAATTCTGACTTGGGGGATCTCTGAGGCTGGAAATGGTTGAGATTCCCATCCTTGCTGGGACAGGGCAGAAGTCAGCACGAGGGTAAAGGCCAACTCAGGAAGAGGAACAGGCAGTTCAGACCCCCAGCATAGGTTTTAACAGGAAGTCGACCAATTACAGCTCCAACCTAGCCTTTCAGCATCACACAGGCACCACCCCCATCACTCGGCACCTCGTCGAAGGGCGCTCCTGTCCTGAGGATGCTGCTCATACCTTTTGATTCCAAATCGGTGCCTGACTGGTAGGTCGGGAGCCCAACTCAGGCAGCTTTAATACTCATCTAAAATTATGCTAAATGGAGCAGCCCATGGAGCTACAATTAACTCATAATCATAAGTTCTTCCACATTTACTCTAAACTTTGCAAAGTGTTTTCTCACACCCCTAGTTCCTGAGAAGAGAAGACAGTCTTAAACCTGTATTATTACTGTTGTTGTTGTTGTTTTGTTATTATTATTATTATTATTTTAGAACTGTAATATACCCAGAATAACATAAGAGTGTTAAAAAAATCAGTTAAGACTTATGTGAAGGAGACTGTATTAATGAAGCAAATCATTAGAAATAAAATCTGTGGTCCAGCATCACGAAGCCCCTTCATCAGTTTTCAGTAGCCATGACTTCACCTTTGATGCCCAATAACTTCACGTATAGATCTTTCCATTGATAAAAGTGGACAGAACATCTCTGTTTGAAATCCCAAAGCAGCAACGCCTACAAGGCTCTCAAACATTTATGAGAAATTAAAAACTCTAGATTCAAGTGTCTTGTTTACAGGATGCTAACAATATGGCTATCTGGAAGCATCCAAATGGTTGTAGTGTGCTGACTCAGCCAGGGGATTCTCTCAAGAAATGTCACACGGGGTATTGCCTTTGTGAAAGCATTATGTGGTTACAGTTGAGGTGCAAACCACTACCATCAACCATCATCAACAAAGTAACATATCCCGTGGCTGAAGTCAGTGTATTTGATAGCTTAGCAAGTCTCCTTTTGCCTAGTTAATGCCAACATCTGTCTTTGGGCCATGCTAACATTCCCAGAGTTGTCTTTTGGTTTCTTCCTCCAGGTTATTGGGTGCTTTGAAAGCCACCTTGCGTAATGGTGTTAGTAAGCTGTATCCATGTTAGCTAAGAAACATCCCTCACTCATTCAGCTTCCACTAGTATGTGGCACAGAGAGTTCTGTACTATAGATCAGATTTTTATACCCGCTAACTTTTTTTTTAGCAAACAGCGAGAGCAACCCGCAGGGAATTTTACGTACAACGCATCTCTCCGTTCTACCCAACAGCTAAAAGGAACACTGCAAATCAAGAAGCATGCTGGATGCTAGCGGTACCTTGGAGACGGCCAGTTCCTTAGATTTCGACTCAAACAGGTGCTCCAGCTTGGAGGTGTCCACCTTGATAGGTTCCAGTTTCGACCACAGGAATTCTCTGCAGCGGCCGTTGTTCTTACACGGCCACTCGAACGGCCGCACTTCATTCCAGAACAGACGGATGGTCTTCTTTTTCTTGGTGAATGCTGGCTGGCCCCTGGGTACCTGGGGCCACCCTAAGCCCTGAGGAGCATTGAACACTGGAGGAGGAGCCAATAAATTACCAGGGACTGGAGGGGGAGGCACGCTGTCCAGCAGGGGCGGAGGGGGCGGGGGCGGCAGACCCAGAAAGGTGGGCGGGGGCGGAGGAGGGGGCCCTGGGGCCTCCCTGTGACCCAGGTCCACGTCCAGGACGTCGATGTCATCCTCCTCCCCCAGGTCAGTGAAGTCCATGTCTTGGATTCTGAGCTCCCTCGGATTGGCCATGAGCTGGTCCCAGATGTAGTCAGATTCCGTCTTCGGCTGCTCAGACGCCTTCTCGGTGACCTTGTCATTGGGCTCGCCATCGGGGGAGATGGACCCTTTCCCTAGGTCCCCGCTATTGAATTTCTCAGCAAAGGCTTTCACGCTGCCCCGATTGTCCAGACAGTCAACGTCCACCTTCCTAACACTCTCATCCTGGACGAAAGCGTTGGCCTGCAGGGTGGATATCCTACTGGCCAGGCTGGCTACCGCCTCCGCCCCCTGCTCAGGCCTCCTGGTCTCGCCCTCCCCTTTCTCCTCGTCATCCGTGGGCTTTCTGTTATGGGCATACAGCATGTCCAGCATGAACCGTTTGCTGGTGAGGATGTCGCCACACTGCTCATTTACTCCGGCATCCTGAACACCCGTGGACCACAAACCTGAAAGTATACGGGGGGAAAAAGTGAGAACATGGCACGGACCTCAATCCCACGAGAAAACCAACGCGGCAACACGTGGGCTTTACACACAGAGTGACTCAGGGAGACATGGAAATAAAGCAATTGAAGAGGAAGGCACGCATGGCTGACAAGATGCTCCTGACCAGAAAGATGCTGCATCAAAGTGCCGATGACCCACTCTAGGACCCAAGACACTTACAGGTGTGACACTTTTTGTGGCTCTGGCCTAGGCTCATGGGAGAAATTTTCCTGACCTTTCTTGCCCACCCATGACAGCTGGTCAGGAGCCACCCAGGGGCTTCTGCCCTAACTAGACACAGCGAGACAAGGAAATGCCGCCTCATCCACAGCAGGTGTTGGAAAGGCTGTGGAGTTACGCCCCCTACCCCACCTCTGCACCAGCACAGCCAAAGCACCCAGAGAAACACACAAACCCCGCCACTGGTCACACTGCAAGTTTGCAGCCACCAGTCTTCGGGAGACCCATCACGTTGCCTGGCGGTCCCATCCGTGACCTCTCCTACATGACGTGTCACACACCTCCTCTCTCCTCTAGCTTCCACCACCCATCTCATCCTCTGCAAGCATGGCCTTGCTTCCCAGTTCAACAGCTTAAGAGACAAGGTCAGAGATCTTCCAGGGCCTCCATTCTGCCTCCTCCCATCCACCTGCACCTGAGCCCCAACCATGGCCTCCCTCCTGTGACTACTGATAAGCCGTTCTCTTAGCAGGGATCAACCGCTCCACTTGGGCATTTGGAAATCACTTCAGCAGTTTTCTGTCCTGCATCTCCCATGCTTCTCCTGCACATAAACATGGTTAACTTCACCCATTAAAACAACAAACCTCACTTGATTCCACTTATCAATCCAGCTATAATCCAAATTTTCTCTTTTCTTTTAAAGTAAAGCTGCTCACAAGAATTGTTCGGCTGTCTGCAATTTCTCTCTTTATCTCTCTTGAACCCAGGCTAATGAAAGA